CTGAACCCACCCAACATCGAAGCAGCACCCACAGACCTCCCAATCGATATTGGCCCACCAACAATTGAAGAGATCAGCATGGCCATTAGACAAATCAAGAGTGGCAAAGCAGCGGGACCAGACAACATCCCGGCAGAGGCACTGAAAGCAAATGTAACAGCAACTGCCAAGATACTCCACATCCTCTTCGGTAAGATTTGGGACGAAGAACATGTACCAACAGACTGGAAAGAAGGACTTCTCATCAAGATACCAAAGAAAGGCGATCTGAGCAAGTGCGACAACTACAGAGGCATCACTCTCCTCTCAATACCAGGAAAAGTCTTCAACAGAGTATTGTTAAACAGGATGAAGGATTCCGTGGACGCTCAACTTCGAGATCAACAAGCTGGATTTCGTAAGGATAGATCGTGCACAGATCAAATCGCAACTCTACGTATCATTGTGGAACAATCAATCGAATGGAATTCATCACTGTACATCAACTTCATCGACTACGAGAAGGCATTTGATAGCGTGGACAGGACGACACTGTGGAAGCTTCTTCGACACTACGGTGTGCCTGAGAAGATAGTAAATATCATACGGAACTCCTATGATGGACTAAACTGCCAAATCGTCCACGGTGGACAACTCACCGACTCGTTCGAGGTAAAGACCGGTGTTAGGCAAGGTTGCCTACTCTCACCCTTTCTCTTTCTCCTGGTGATCGACTGGATTATGAAGACATCAACATCTGGAGGAATGCACGGGATACAGTGGACAGGCAGGATGCAGCTTGACGATTTAGACTTCGCGGATGATCTGGCTCTTCTATCACAAACGCAACAACAAATGCAGGAGAAAACGACCAGTGTAGCAGCAACCTCAGCAGCAGTAGGTCTCAATATAAACAAAGGGAAAAGCAAGACTCTCCGATACAATACAATATGCACCAATCCAATTACACTTGACGGAGAAGCTTTGGAGGATGTGGAAATCTTTACATATCTGGGCAGCATCATTGATGAACACGGTGGATCAGATGCAGATGTGAGGGCGCGGATCGGCAAAGCAAGAGCAGCATACCTACAGCTGAAAAACATCTGGAGCTCAAAACAATTGTCAACCAACACCAAGGTTAGAATTTTCAATACAAATGTCAAGACAGTTCTTCTGTATGGGGCAGAGACGTGGAGAACTACGAAAGCAATCATCCAGAAGATACAAGTGTTTATTAACAGTTGTCTACGCACGATACTTCGGATCCGATGGCCAGACACTATCAGCAACAAGTTACTGTGGGAGACAACAAACCAGATTCCAGCGGAGGAAGAAATCAGGATGAAGCGCTGGAAGTGGATTGGGCACACTTTGAGGAAATCACCCAATTGTGTCACAAGACAAGCCCTCACATGGAATCCTGAAGGTCGAAGGAGAAGAGGAAGACCAAAGAACACATTACGCCGAGAAATAGAGACAGACATGAGAAGAATGAACAAGAACTGGAAAGAACTAGAAAAGAAGGCCCAGGACAGAGTGGGTTGGAGAAAGCTGGTCGGCGGCCTATGCTCCATTGGGAGTAACAGGCGAAAGTAAGTAAGTAAGTATTCACCAATGTCTTCAGTGAGTTGATATCTCACAACAGACCTGGTTAAACTACATTAGTCACTGCTTCTCACTAGAGCTCCCGGAAATATCTTTTGAATTCAGTCACTAGTGAGCATATGATCATTATCAAAAGTTGGTCTCGTGAGACTGATAGGTCCTGAGTTCAAATCTCGCGAGAAGGGATCGTAGATGTGCACCTTTCTGATAATGATCATATGATCATTATCAGAAAGGGGTTTTGTGGAGATTTCAGTATTTTCATAGTTTAAATCATGAGTCAATTTAAGGCAGACCATCATGGAAAACCTGGAAGCATTGGACAGCCGTTTCGTCCCTTTATGGGACTCCTCAGCAGTGCGCATCCACGATCCCGCCACGCGAGATTCGAAGCCAGGACCTACCAGTCTCGAGCCAGAGCACTTAACCACTAGACCACTGAACCGGTCGCCATCCAACGGTGTTAATGTCTAAATTCAACCTATCCACGAAATCGCGTGACCAATTTCGATTGTACCGAGGTAGAAACCTGCCTCACGAGATTCGAACCCAGGACCTAACAGTCTCGTGAGCTGGCGCCCAACTAAATATATTTCTATTGTATAGTTGTTATGTAACTAAACTATTCATATTTGTGTCCGACTTATTATAGAATCTATTCTGACCCATAGACTATTATTATACAATTTACTGTTTTTGAATTATACCAAGTCTATGAATTGCAGTCTCCCACATTCACAGCCACATTTGCTTAAATCTTGTAGAAATGTTGTTCCTTATTTTATGGTACGATATGATCAGTCTGGTTGGTATATAAACCCAGTATGTTTGAAATACAATAATTCATTTCGCGGAGTCTGTGATTTACAATCTGGAGTTAGCACATAGGGCTAGACAGGAAGAAAGACCAACAAGTACTAATAGACTGCTCGTACGGGTTTCGTCTGTCATTGGTCCGATCGATAATTCACTCCACCCTAATTGGCGGTATTCTCACATTATAAATTGGCAGAGCTATTCAGGTCACAAGTTATAACCCATATATATCCATGCGAACAATATTGTCTTCAATGAGATCTTTATCAAACTTTGCTCTGATATACCATACGATTTATATTCATATACAAAAATGATTAAATCAATTAAAGTAGTTTATGAGTTAACAAACGAATTTATAAACATAAATTTGGCGGTTTTTATTATTTTTTTTTTAAAAAAAAAAGAAAAAAAATATTTTTCTTTTCTTTAATTTTTTTTCATTTCAAATAAAAAAAAAGAAAGAAAAAGAAAAGAAAAATAGAAAAAAAAAACGAGATCAAGAAACGAAACGAACTAATATTTGACATTTAATCAATAATCATATGAAATTGACAAAAAAAAATAGAAAAAAAAATTCCCCCCCCCATTCGGCGAAATTTTTAATAATAGAAATGAACCAATCAAATTTAAGAGAATAGAATTTTGGATTTTGTCAAGAAAAATTCATTTATTCATCTATTTGGTTAAAATAAAGTTTTGATATTTTTTTTAGTTAGTTGTCAGTGTGGTGATGAAAATGCGGTGTATATGGTTATTCATAAGTTTTTCATTTTAATGGTACCTTCAGAGGCATAAAACTTCGCGTGTAACTCCTCCAGGGGCTACTGCCGATCCCAAGCTCGGGTAAAGGAGGAGGGTTGGGTATAGGGTTAATAACCCCATCCTGTAGAAAAGCAACTTGCTTAAAAAAACGCTAACCAGAAAAAATTATTCAAACCATTTAAACTCTGCTCTTGGAGTAGAAGGAATAATTATGACGTTTCATGATGAAAGCCGAAATTCTTCGGAAGTCACGAGACCGATGCACCTTCTTACAACGAGAGCGACAATTTTTATAGGTACATGGAATATCCGGACAATGTGGGGAACCGGAAGAGTTTTCCAAATTGCTGCAAAGGCATAAACTTGTATGTAGAACTAGTAAAATGCTGCAAGTCTCTGATAAGAACTAAGGGCGAGACTAGAATTTATGGAGGAACCAATCAGGTATAAGATAACAGGGATTACAATATTTACTGTTCAGTAGGAGTAGTCAGGTTGTGACAGTTTTCATAAAAGTTAGGTTGAGCAAGAGTAGAATACGTTCGATGATGGATATAATTGAAAATCAACAACACCAAGATCAGAATTTTCAATACAAATGTCAACACAGTTCTACTGTATGGGGCGGAAACCTGGAGAATTATGAAAGCCATCATCCAGAAGATACAAGTAATTATTAACAGTTATCTATGCAAAATACTTCGGATCCGTTATTCAGACACTATCAGCAACAAGTTACTGTGGAAGAGCGACCAAACTGGATTTCAGCTCAGAATGAAATGAGGAAGAACAGCTGAAAGTGGATAGGACACATATTGAGGAAATTATCCGACTGCGTCATAAGACAAGCCCTTAATTGAAATCTTCAGAGCCAAAAGAGAAAAGTTAGACCAAAGAACACATTACGCCGAGAAATGGAGACAGACATGAGAACAATGAACAAAAATTGGATAGAACTAGAAAGGAATGTCCAGGAAAGAGTGTGTTGGAGAATGCTGGTCGGAGGACTTTGTTCTATTGTGGGTAAGTAAGTAAATCTTTGATTTTGGCGAGAAATTCATCTGGTTATACACCATTTTGGCTTGATAGCTAATATCATTTTGTTGGTGAAAACCCTAAATCTGATTCCTGACCATTAACTGTAATTCATTATTCTAATTCCCTACATTGCTTTATAACCCTCATTCAGTCTAAGTAGATGGACATTCTCCGGTTATGATTACATTCCACTGATAATTTGAGAAATATTCAATTTAATAGATCAATCATACTCTAATCAATTTACTCCTCGGATACCACGTCTTTTTTACTGTTTCCAGTAAACAGGATGAAGTGATTGTGTTAGTTTTGCTAGTGATATTGGATTTCAAACTAGTTAGAAATCTTTTTTATATATAGTTGAAATCATGAGTCCACTACGGAAAACCTGGAAGAATTGGATGGCCGTTTCGTTCTATCATGGGACTCCTCAGTGGCAGTGCACATTCACGAACCTGCCTCACGAAATTCGAACCCAGGATCTATCGGTCTCGTGCGCGAGCGCTGAACCACTAGACCACTGAGACGGCCGTCATCCAACGGTGTTAATACCTAACTTCAATTAATCCACAAAGTTGAGCAACCATTTCATCAATGCTCTCAGTGAGTTGATGTCTCCCAACAAATCTTTCTCGAAACTTTTTAAACTTTTAACACTTTCAAGGTCATTTCAGCGTCATTTTAAGGTCATTCATAATTTCAAAATGTCACTAATTCCCCACCACTTTTTATTAAATTCAATTCAATTCACAACAAATTACGCACACAAAAAAAACACAACATCATTCACTTACCAGCATATGATCTTGGCACCATATCACCATAACCAACAGTTGTCATAGTAACTATAGCCCACCATAAACCAATTGGTATTGATGTAAAATCATTACGTGTATTTGTATTACTTAAACGTTCAGCATAATAAATTAATGCAGCAAATAATACAATGAATACAGCCAAAAAAAATATTAATAATGAAAATTCTTTAGCACTTGCTTTAAATGTTAATATTAATATTTTTAAACCAGATATATGTCGGGTTAATTTAAATAAACGCATAACACGTAATATACTAAAAAATTCAATAATCGATATTAAAGTAACATCATTATCATTATGGTAACTATCATTATCACCATTAATATTATTATTGTTGTTGTTGTTGTTGTTACCATGGTAACTATGATGATTATGTAATAAGATGACTTGAATATAAAAACTAAATAATGCAGCAATATCAATTAAATTAATTAAATTTTTAACAAATTTTTTATGATTTATAGTAACAGTAAAACGAATTATTAATTCTATAGTAAACCATATATTACATATACATTCAATATAAATAAAAATAATATTCTTTTTATATTGTTTATTATTCATTATAATAGTATAATTACTATTGAATTTATCATAATAGATACTACTAATAGTACTACTTATACTACTTATACTACTACTAGTAGTACTACTTTTGGTACTAGTAGTAGTACTACTACTTAATGTATTGATAGTAGTAGTATCTATATGATCATCTGTTATATTGATTAATTCTGTACGAATAGATGGTGTAGAAAATATTGGTGATGTATCCATACAATAAGCCAATATAGATAGAATGATACATGTGATTGATAGGAGAGCAATACACTGTAAAAAAAGAAATTGAAAAAAAAAAGAAATGAGAAAAGAATAAACATAAAAAAGAAGTGGGTGTGTGGAGATTTAATAGTTTGATAGTTGAAAGCATTAGTGAATAGAAAGTAGATCACCAAGGTAAATCATCTCTGACGAGAGACTAGTAGGTTATTGGTTTGAATCATGTGAGGCTAGATGTTGGATGTACACTGTCACTATGGAGTAACACAATAGGATGAAATGGCCGTCCAGTGCTTATTAAGTTTTCCTTGGTAGTCTAGCTTCAATTGACTGATGCTTTCAACTACAAAACAGAATTGATTAAAGTAAAAAAAAAATTAGGATAAAGAATAATTGTAATTTAGAGTTGAAGTTATAGAAAATTGTTACTGTCTATCATCAAACAATCTACGAAATTGAGTGTCCATCTTCTACTGTCTCTACCTGACACAGATTGAACTACACTGGTCACTAATTATCATTAGAGTTCTGAGAATCTCCTCACGGAGCTTATCATTAATAAGCACATGGTAGTTATACGTGTGTGAAGCTGAAGGTCCTGGGTTCGAATCCTGGGCGTGATATCGTGGATACGCATTTCTAAAGAGTCCCATGCTAGGACAAAACAACAGTCCAGTACTTCCATGTTTTCAATGGTTATCTAATAGTTATCCATTCATGATCTCAATCTAAACACACCAATCTCCACAATCTTATACTGAATTCTCTTCATCTTTTTTATTCAATGACACAAAAGAGGCAATTTAATCAATATAGAATGTTTATTTTGGTGAAATAACCGTGCAGAGTTAATGAAACTGTACTACTTATCAATCTATTAAATTCTCTTGAATCAATAATGAACTTTCATATGTCAGTACTTTAGTGTTTCAACAGTAATTGGCATGTAACTAGTAGTGCAGTGTCTGTTACTTATATCCACATAAGTAGTATATAACAGTGGTCAGGTATACAATGTAATTCAATGAAAGATCGATTAGGAAACAACGGTAATGAATCATAATTTGTTTTGAAAATGTATGAAAAGTGGAATTAGAGAAGATGGACTGATATTTACAAAAAGGGACAATCAAGATTGAGACAATTAATTGACAGTTTGCAAATTAACTGTTGACTGTATAATTATCAGATTTCAGTGAGATAATCTGCAATTTACGCTTTAATGCATTCAATTGTCCTAACGTATGTTTTTGTTCACAACAGTAATTCCAAAATTTGAACAAACTTAAGTCTACTTTTAAACTTTGATATCAATAGACTCGAAAACTCCGTACATATATAAGTACTTGATGTTTTGGATTCAACATAAGAATGATGTTAATTAACTAAATAAATAGTTGATATTTATTAGATATAAGTTTAATGTTAGTTCATATTCGTACTTTCGATCATGAAAGAAAACGGATACTCTTTATAAGTGTTATGACTCGTATAACAATCGTTATTGTATATGAAACGTGCAATGATACAGAAAATACGTACGAGCAGTCTTGATTGCTATTCGGTCCTTCCTAACTGCCTAGCCCAGCCAGTTGAGTCCAGAACACAAATAACAGCCTCAGCAATATGAATCATTATTTACAAGCATACTGGGTTATATATACTAACCAAACAGACCACATATATCAAAAATAGAAAAATAACATTTGTACAGTAATTGGCCAATGTGGCTGTAGCTAGGGGGAAAGTAATCAATAATAATAGTTCCAAGGTCAAAATAAAGGTTATGATAAGAGGAACACGGAAACGACTAGGTCACTTATTTAACAACTATCCAATAGGGAATGGGCATATTGTATTTGTCCATAAATAGACATCAGATTTAGGTTACTCATTTAACAACTATCCAATAGGAATAGGCGTATTACATTTGTCCATAAATGGACATCAGATTTATGATTCATAATTCGCCAGGGGATACAACAATAAGATTCAAATTTGCCATATGATTTTGAAATGTTGAAGATTTGTAACTCAGATGAATGATTTTGTTCTCTAAGTTGGATGGTTTGATCGTAAAGCTTTCATTTGTGTATACAAAACAAGTTTTGAACCACATGTAGAGAAAGTCAAACACTTTACTTCTACCCGAAGTTTGTGTTGATGAGGTCGTTCAGAAGAATTATCATAGCTCAAGACCAAACTATCCTGCTCAGAGAACAAAACTTCATCAATCGGTCTCTAATTGGACTATTCAATGATCAGTTAATAATAATCAATAATTTAGTGTTTTTCAACTGCACCTGTAGCTCCTCCGGGGGCTACTGCCGGTCCCAAGCCCGGATAAAAGAGGAGGATTGAGTATGGGGTTAACGACCCCATCCCGTAGAAAACCAACTCGCTAAAAAGAACGCTAATCGGTGTTTTATTAGTCAATATATTCGGACGTAAAAATGTTGTTGTTTATTTCCATCCATAGTTACAAATTTCGCAACAAGATGAATGATATGACCTAATCATTATTTCACCTAAAAATACAGACGGTTATGCAAATTCTCTTATAGACTTTATTACATAACAATATGTAGTAATAATGATAATAAATCGATAAATATTATGGTCTGGGTTACTTATATCCACATAAATAGTATATGATGATGGTCAGGCATAGAATGTATTTCCCTGGTAGATCGATAAGGAGGGAACCGGAACGGGACGCCATTGGTATGAAAACGCATGAACAATAATAATCGGATAGTCTGTAATTTGTGCTTCAACACATTCGGTTGTCCCCACTAGTATTCCTGTTCACTAAAATTACACTTATTTGATTGAGTAATTGTAAACAAAAGCTGATTCACTGCACAAACTACTTAGATGGTCAAACTGAGAAATTTTCGTTACCATTCTGAAGAAAATCTTCAGCATTTACGTCATGCAGAAGAGAGCTTTCTTGTTATTCCCTTAAGTGATATTGTAGTGGACTAGATCACCAATAGATGATCTAGCCTTCCTATCTCATACACACGAAGAAATGCAGATGAAGACAGCAAATGTAGCAGCAGCCTCTGCATCGATAGGCCTCCACATTCACAAAGGAAAAAGCAAGATTCTCAAATACAACACGTAGAAAACCAACCCAATTACACTTGACGGCGAAACACTGTAAGATATGGAAACATTCACGTACCTGGATAGCATCAATGATAAACAAGTAGGATCGCATGCAGATGTAAAGGCGAGGATTGCCAAATAAAGGCTGCATTTCTACAACTGAAGAATATATGGAACTCAAAACAACTCTCAACCAATTTCAAGGTCAGAATCTTTAATACTGTATGGAGCTGAAACGTGGAGAACTACTACGGCCATCATCAGGAAGGTACAAGCATTTATAAACAGTTATCTACACAAAATACTCAACATACATTGACGAGATACTATCAGTAACAGCGTTTTATGGGAGAGGATAAACCAGCTTCCAGCTGAAGAGGAAATTAGGAAAAGACGTTGGAAGTGGATCGGACATACATTAAGGAAATCACAAATGTGCATCACGACTCAATCCCTAACGTATAATCCGGAAGGGAAGTGGAAAAGAGGAAGGCTAAAGAACATATTACGTCGGGAAATAGAAGCAGATATGAAAAAGATGAATGTTAACTGGAAAGAACTGGAAAGAAAGGCTTAGAATACAGTTGGATGGAGTATGCTGGTGAGCAGCCTATGCTCCTCGACGAGGGGTAACAGGCGTAAGTAAGTAAGTAAGATCACCAATGGGGACAATCGAACATATTTGATCACAAAATTACGAACTATTTCACTAAAATCTGACAACCATACAGTAAAAAGTTAATTTGCAAGCTATTATTCAATTTTCATAGTTGACAGCGTGAGTCAATTGAAGCTAGACCACCAAGGAAAACCTGGAAGCACTGGACGGTCGTTTCATCTTATTGTCGGACTCCTCAGTGGCAGTGCGCATCCACGATCCCGCCTCGTGAGATTTGAACCTGGGACCTGCCAGTCTCGCTCCAGAGCACTTAACCGATAGATCACTGAGGAGTCCCATAACAGGACGAAACGGCCGTCCAGTGCTTCCAGGTTTTCCTTGGGGGTCTAGCTTTAATTGACTCACGCTTTCAACTATGAAAATACTAAATCTCCACAAAGCCCTTTCTGATTATTATCCAATTGTCTCAATCTTGACTGTTCCTTCTGCAAATATCAGTTTGTAATCTCGGATTATTATTGTTCATGCATTTTTATACCAATTGCGTTCCATTCCGGTTCTTTCCTTATCAATCTTCTACCGAAATACATTGTATGCCTGACCATCGTCATATACTACTTATATGGATATAAGTAACCCACACTACATCATATCAATTTATTCCGACGACCTTGTTTGTGATAGGTTGTCATCGAAGAATTTGCTGACTTGATTTACCTTTGTTATTCAGATTGACTATTTCTGTTGGTTAATCTCTAGCCACGCAATCCGTTGATCTCTTCCATACAGGTTCATAGATTGAATCTATGTTGTTGTGTTCATTGATTGCTACTGGATCCCAATATCACACTTTGAGAAATTTATTTTTGATATTCTTGGAGTTTTCTTGATTCATAAACGTTTACGTTTCTCCACTAGGATTTGTGTCCATGGTTTCTGCATACCTTGATATCAGTTATGGTATATCATGTCACATCACTGTCAATCTATGATCTTTTATGAGAAAGTGAAGGAAACGCCTACTTTGTTCAATGTAATATTTCTCGTAGCTTATTTACTTACTTACGCCTGTTACCCCTCGTCGAGGAGCATAGGCCGCTCACCAGCACTATCCATCCATTTCTGTCCTGTGCAATCCTTTCCAGTTCTTTCCAGTTACTATTCATACTTTTAATATCTGCTTCTATTTCCCGACGTAATGTGTTCTTTAGCCTTCCTCTTTTCCACTTCCCTTCCGGATTATACGTTGGGGATTGAGTCACGATGCACATTGGGGATTTCTTCAATGTATGCCACTTCCAACGTCTTTTCTCGTAGATGGTGCAGTAAATTTTGTAAATGGTGACATTAATATCTTCTTATCTGAAGTAGGCGCTGAAGATGTTATCCTAAATAACCGTCAAAGTCTTACAATCAAGCCATCCAGCTCAGTAGACTGAATACTACAAAAAATATACATATCTGTTTAGTCTATAGCTTGCCGAAGGTTCTTGATAAGATAATTAACTGGAAAAAAGATCGAATATCGTCTGTTGTTTCTAATCTTATGATGACACTGATTTCTAGGTGATTAACATTTTGTGTGAGTTGCTAGTAGTAGTTACTGTATTCTCATAATTTAAATGACAACACGACATGTTTAAAACAACTAAGAAACACCAGATAGTTGTATGGTTCTACTACTACGCTGCTCAGCAGCCTGTATCCACAACACTCCGGTGTAGCAAACCTAAGGTGAATAAGTCCAGTGGTAAGTGCTTAACCTTTGTACAGTTATATCACCATTCAGTGATTTACGTTTCTAACTTCAATCAATCCGTGAAAACTACTCTATCATCGGTCAATACCGTCGATGAGACAACCTTGTCATAATCACTTTCTAGAGTATACAATGATAAATAGAAGACTTAATTTAATTCATATCATCTACTCACTTTAGCTCCAATAGATGAATGCGGCAATTCAAATAATGCCCATACTTTTGGTCGATATTTTTGCCATATATTCAATTCATTACATGTATATTCATCTTCTAATCCAAAACGTTTATATAAAGTTTCTGGTGTATAATCATCATTATCCATATCAACTTTATCTAAAATTTGTAATGTAGCCTGAGTATCACGATGTGCTGTATAAGTCATCCAACAACATGGTTCAACCTGATTATAAATGAAAGTAATAAAAGGAATTGTAATCATTAGTAAGAACAAGTTGAATAAAGCATTCTGATATTAATCAACATGTGCTCACTGGTGACTGACTTCAAGAGGTATTTCTTGGAGTTCTGGTCAAAAGCAGTGACTAGTCGAGTCCAAGCAGGTCTGTTATGAGATAGTAACTCATTGAAGACATTAGTGAAAGTGTCGCTCAATTTCGTTGATAGATTGAAGTTAGACAATAACACCGTTGAATGACGGCCGGCTCAGTGGTCTAGAAGTTAAGCGTTCGCGCGGGAGACAGATAGGCTCTAGTTTCGAGTCTCGCTAGGTGGGATCATTAGTGAGCACTTCCACTGAGGAGTCTCAAAATAGGACGAAACGGCTGTCCAGTGCTTTCAAGTTTTCCATGATTGTCTAGCTTCAATCGATTCATGATCTCAACTATTAAAAATAAAAAAAATTGATTATTATTGAATGATCAATCATTGTACCTTATAAGTCCTACAGAGAATCATGTCCAGAATAAATCAGTAGAAAATGTGTCAGACTCTGAGGCAGAAAAGTGTTACTAGTTGGGTTCAATCTTGTCACATGTAAGACAGTTATCCATTTTACTCATTGTAAGATAACTGAGAAATATTGTGAATTGATTGAGGTTAGACTTTCAGATCACTGGATGCTTAGTGGTCTAAAGTTCAAACATCCGCGTGTCGAACCGAAGCCTCTGAGTTCGATCCCTCGTTGTGAGTTCGTGGACACGCAATGCTGAAAGGCTTCATACTTAGAAAAAACAGTCATTTATCTCTTCTAGTTTCTCAGTAGTGGTTAATATCATGAGTCAATTGAAGCTAGACCACCATAGAAAACCTGGAACCACTGAAAGGCCGTTTCGTTCTTTCATGGAACTCCTCAGCAGTGAAACCATTACTTACTAGACAACATGGTGTAAGTCACTATTCATTAACTAACTATTTTGTTCATAGGGTTTAGATTATCACATAGAAGTAAATTAAGACAGTGTGTTAACAATTATCAATCAGAAGCAAACAAATAGAATGGATGAAAACGTTCTTTTTCAGTCAACGTATTCAGAAAGTCAGAAGGGGTTGCTCTGGCGCGAGACTGGTAGGTCCTGGTTTCGAATCTCGCGAGGTGCACTTCTGAGGCGTCTCACAATTGGAAGGAACGACCGTTCAATGCTTTCGTGTTTTCCATGGTGGTTTAACTTCAATTGACTCATGATCTCAATTATGTATTCAGAAAGTATTCATGAATTCGGTCTAGACTTCTTCTTTAAAGATGGTAAATCCTTATACAATGTATTAGAATGAAATTAATCTTATTGTCATGTATTGATATTATCACCTGTGTGAAATTATTTCCATTTGAGGTTCTTCTGTTTAAGTTTTATTCAGTAAAATAAAATTCTTTAATTATTATTTACTACTGATGTAATATATTAGTAGTTTGTGTTGAGAATGTTGTAGATGCTGTATAGATTCTCTTAACTTCCCGGTTTAATCTTCACACTTTCAAAGTACTCCTGGACGGTATTATCGGTACATATTTCAATTAGGAAATTAGTTATCAGGATCTTTTCACAACCAACTGACAGACTGTTCTGTCAGTTTTGATTGTTTTTTCTCTCCTGATTGGAATTCTGACGTTACAGCTTTTGATCCTTTTTCTTACTGACTGATGGGTTTGGTCGTTTAAGTTATGTCTATCGATTGATGTTTGGTTGGAATACTAAGCTTTTAAAACATTTTCTGACTTTCTTTGTGTTTCCTTCATTCAACATTTCAACGTTATACTCCAATCCATAGTTGCCCATACGTAATCGCATTTAACACCCGACTGGTATTCAAGTAGAAATAAAAGGAGAATGTGGGCACTTTGTTTAATATAGTGCTTGTCACAGTTGCTCCAAAGTACCTTGTCAGTACTATTTGCCTTGTCTTCATATGTTGTTGTGTTTATTAACTGTCCAAATATTGTGGCCTAATGAACTATATGAATTACTAAGGTGTCAAAACAATCTGTTTCGAATCTCAGAGATGTTCTTCAAGTAGGGCAAAGTGATCCGTTTGCCAATTGTCTCTGTTAATTTTTTGTTTGATGATCAGTTCAATAAACGTTTCTTAATGATGACTAGCGATTAACCATTAAATTTGAATATAAGTGAATCTGGGATTTTAACTATTTATTTATATTTATTTGAACACATGAACATTGGCACAAGGGGGCACCAAATCCACGTGCGCCACACATAAGCGATTAGGCTAGTAGAAGATATCATTAATTCGTGTTAGGGCTATGATACTGTCCGGATGCCCAAACCAAGACAGGTGGTTTTTTTAAGGGTGCCACACGTATAGCCTTTGACCTGAAGGTCTAATCCATAGGGTAGTGTAACAGTATTAGGAGATGCAATCTCATGGTAGTCGGTGACCAACAATAAGCAAATACGCTATTCGTTTCCTTAGAATCTTGGAAGCCCATGTTCACCATTGGTTTGGGATCAGGGTTTTCCAATTGACTTCCTCCATGTTCACCAACCCGGTATGAGCCTTTGCCTGACATTATTTTTTCGTCCTCTCAATTTCGTAAATATCAAAAATCTCACAACTTCGAACATAGTCATTTAGGAAAACTTTAAAAAGTAATCCTATTTAGTATATAGTTGAAATCCTGAGTCAATTGAAGCTAGATCACAATGGAAAACCTGGAAGCACCGGATGGCCGTTTCGTCCTAGTGTGGGACTTGTCAGCAGTGTGCATCAATGATCCCGCATATAGGACTCAAACACAGTACCTTTGGTCACATACGCGTGCGCTTAATCTCTAAACCACTGATCCGATATCCAACGGCGTTAATGTCTAACTTTAATCAATCTTGCATAACCATTCTTTAATAGTCTGAGGTTGATAACTGTCTTCATTCAACACGAGTTCAACTCCACTGGCCACAGCTTCTCGATAGGACTTAAGAAGATCCATCTTTAAGTTTGTCATTAGTGAGCACATGATTATTATAAGAATGAGGATTTATGGAGATTATAATTTTAATAGCTGAATTCAGGATAGCTTACAAAAGATCATGGATCAATTGAAGACGTACATTAACATCGTTGGATGACGGATCAGTTATTTGACGTTTAAGTACTCCCGCATTACACTATAGGTCGCGGATTGGATTTCTGCATGCGGGATCGTGGATATGCACTACTGAAAAGTCTCATACCTGAACGAAACGTCTGTCTAGTGTTTCCAATGCATATTTTTACTAATCATATCTGAATAAAAAGTGTTTCTGTGATGATGTAGTATAAAAAATTTAATGAAAATCTTTTTTTAGAATAAAAGAAACAAATGATCCTATGAAAAAGAAAGTTTAATAGTTGAGATTATGAATCAATTGGAGCTAGACCATCATGAAAATCCTGGAAGCACTGGACAGCCGTTTTGTCCTTATGTTGGACTCCTCAGCACTACGCATCCATGATCTGTCTCGCGAGATTCCAATTCAGGACCTTTCAGTCTCGCTCGCAAGCGCTCAATCTCTAGACCACTGGGACGGTTGGCAACCAACGGTGTTAATGTTTAACTTCAACCGATTCATGAAACTGAGCGACACATCCACCATTGTCTTTAGTAAGTTACTATCACACAACACACCTGGTTGAACTCCACTGGTCACTGCTTCGCACTAGAACTCCAGAAAATACCTCATGGAGCTAGTCACTAGTGAGCATATGAAACGGCCATGCACTGCCTCCACGTTTTCCATAGTGATCTAGCTTAAATTGACTTATGATCTCAACTATATAAGAAAATTACCACAAAAACCCCTTCTAATATTAAAATAGAAATCGTTTAATGATAGTTGCTTAAATATTTCAATCTATATATTTTTTAAAAAGTTTATGAAGTTTTATAAGCAAAGATGGATATTGGTTAGTAGTGGAATCTAGTTTGACGCGCGTTTCGTCCTATTTTGCACACGTCAACTGGATATACCTGCATCTCAGAATAATTGTTCACTCTAGGACTCCAACCCAGTATCTTTCGCTTCAAACACCATCGCATTATCCACTCAGTTACTGAGTCCTGATAGCCACTTGCTTGTGCAATGGGGTGAAGTTTGAATTCACTTAGTAGGACGAAAGGCGCGTTCTTGATTCCACTGCTAGCCACTATCCATCTTCCTCATACGCAATATGCACAATTTGCACATATGGCTAATAAGAGACTAACCAGTTGCAATCCTAATACATCAATAGGAAGATTTAAACAAACAATATCAAGTGAATTATTAATTTTGTTTAAATGAACTGAAATTTTGGCGGTTGTTTTAAATAACATCCTTTCGTAGTTTATTTACCGCCATATGTTTATTTAAATCAATAATAATAATAATATTTACTATTACTCAATAGTAAAATATGAAATCGATTTTTGTTGCTGGGGGGGGGAAAGAGGGAATAAACACAAAAAGTAGTTACATTTTGATTGTTACATAATTGACAAAGTTTTGTTACATAATTTACTAGAAATGAAGAGTTGTAATAAGTAATTGAACAATTGGGTAAATTTGATGAGATGAAGTTTGTATTTTTTTTTTGTTTTTTTGCGTAGTAACAATGAATAGAACCGATTTGGCAGTCTCATATATATGTTAAATAGGTCCATTTTTGATGGAGAAAGGTTATATAATCCAATTATAGGACAATAATATTTGAACGAACAATATTTTTTTCGATAAATTCTCTTCAGGTTCTACAATCATAATCTCCTTTTCTTGCTCATCTGGCCAATCACAAGTTCAATTAGTCGATAGTAATCTTAGCTATTGAATGACTTAGTTAGACTATTGTACTTACCAGTAAAGGGGGGGTTTGTGTAGATTTCAGTATTTTCATAGTTGAAAGCATGAGTCAATTGAAGCAAGACCACCAAAAAAAAACAACCTGAAAGCACTGGACGGCCGTTTTGTCTTTTTGTGGGACTCCGCAGCATTACACATTGACGATCCCGTTTCATGAGATTCTAAACCAAAACCTACTAATCTCGCTCCAGAGCACTTAACCGATAGACCACTGATCCAGATGCCGGCATAGTCTCATATATAATAAATAAGTTTATATTTATGGTAAAGGGTTATATAATCCAATTACAGGACAATAATATCATTTCCAATTTGATTAGGGATATTATATTAGTGTTGTATCTAATCAAATGTCAATATGATAATCAGTGTGTGGTTATAATAATTCACTGATCTTTTAAAGGTGTAGATAATTGTTGTCTATATTTCTTAAAAAATCCTATTTTGATAATGATAATCATCATATGCTCACTAGTGACTGATCTAAAAATGAATTTCCTGGAGTTCAAGTAAGAAGTTGTGACCAGTAGAGTTCAACTAGGTCTGTTGTTAAAGACAATGATGGATAGTGGAGCAGTTTTATGAATTGATTGAAGTTAGACATTAACGCTGTTGGATGATGTTATATCCCCTGGTGAATTAAGAATGGTAAAACTGAGGTCTATTTATGGATCAATGTAATATGCCTATTTCCTATTGTATAATTGGTAAATAACTGACCTAATCGTATTCGTGTTTCTCTTATCATAACCTTTATTTTGACCTTTGAACTATTGTTATTGATTACTTTCCCCCTATCCATAGCCACATTGGCCAATTATTGTACAAATGTTATCTTTCTATTTTTTGGTATATTTTGGTCTGTTTGGTTAGTATATATAATCCAGTATGCTTGTAAATAATGATTCATATTGCTGAGGCTGTTATTTGTGTTCTGGACTTAACGGCTGGGCTAGGCAGATAGGAAGGACCGAATAGCACCCAAGACTGCTCGTACGTATTTACTGTATCATTGCACGTTCATATATATTAACGAATCCATACGTTATAACAGATGACGGCTTAGTGGTCTAAATGATAATCGTTTGTGTGCGAGACTGATAGATCTTGGATTCGAATCCTGCATACGGGATCGTGAATGCGCACTACTGGGGTGTCCCATACTAAAACAAGATGACTGTCCACTGCTTCAAGGTTTCCAATGGTGGCTTAAGATTGATCCCGTCATGATCTGAATTTTAAATTTTCAGGTAAACGCCTGTATTAAATAAAGATCTAACGACCTACTTACAACACGTAAACAATAGTTTATCCTTAATAACATGGTTAACATGATGTTATTTTTTAAGTATCTTTGGTAAACGTCTGAGATCGACATGTCAATTGTTCAAATGAAAGCAGTTTCGAGGAGACAAAGGTGTTTCAGCGTTTGTTCTTCTTTGAGATCAATAACAGTAACGATGGTTACACGCTAAATAATAAGGGAAACCTGACGCAATTCTTGTTATACTTTTATTTGATCTATCTTTATTCATTAAATGAATCGTTCTAATCTTATACCTCTGTTATCTGTGACCTTCCATAGTTCAAACCACGAAGTGGTCTTAGCTTGGCTACCATTGAAAACCTGGAAGCATTAAAAAACGACTTATTTCTTCAGCGGTGTGTGTACGCAACTCTATCTCAGAGAATGTCGAACTTGTCGTCCATGAGAACTAACGCTTAACCCCTATGTCACTGACCTGGAATTTAACGGTATTAATGTCTAGCTCCAATCAGATCACAATATTGCGCAACATTTATCCATTACCAACAGTGAATAACTGTCTCACACTCAAAACAGACTGAACTCCTTTTGTCACGGCTTCTCATAGAGGCTCCAGGAGTTGTATCTTGGTGCTGGTCACTGATGAGTAGTATAGATATGTTGTAAAATTTCATAACACTGGACGATTATTCCGTCTTAGTATGGAACTCTTCATTAGTGAGCATCCATGACTCCGTACCCAGGAGTCAAACACAGGATCACCAGCTTCATGAGTGAATCTTATCTCTATGAATTTTTGATTATATTCGAGTGTATTTTGAAATGTAGTTGGATTGTAGTAAGCATTAAGTCAACAACCTCCTACTCCGTAAGATAAAGATCATCAACCGATTGATGTTAGATCATCATTGAAAACCTGGAATCATTGGATAACCAATTCATCCTAGCCTGTGGTTTCTCTTTAGTGCACATCCATGATCTCGCACCAAAGTGAGACTCTAACCAATAACCTTCAGTATTGCGTGCGAACTCTTAACCATCAAACCACTGAGCTGGCAACTATATTAATGAAATGAAACAAGCTATCAGTTTACCTAGCAACAAACAAACAAAAAAAAACAGGCTTCTACCTGATTGGCATCTAAACCCCAAAATTCTAATTCTTCTTCAAATAATGGTCCACATACATCAACAGGATAATGTAATTTACCAGTACGATAATAATTTAATATTTGTGAAAATACCCCTGGATGACGATCATAAAAATATTCATTTAAGACAGGATCATAATTAGCTAATGCTTCAGTTAATTTTGATAATCTAGTTGCTGGGATCTTTTTCAATGTAGCTTTATAAGTTTCATGACGAATTCCGCCAACATTTAAAATGACACGATTTTCTGAATCCATTTTTTGATAATGTTTAATCTAAAATAAAAGTAAAATGAGTGATTTATTATATAGTGTATAGCATACATTCAATAGTTTAGATGCAAAATAGTAATCAATTGTATGTAGACTTGATTGTTCTTGGGAGACAAAACCCGACTTATACGTCCTCGTCGTGTCTCTTGGATCGTGTCACTGATCCCATGTACTAACGTGAGCAGTGATAATGGTGGTGGAGATCGGCCTAGTCAACCACTCCACCTATATCCACAAATGACTACAATTGCAACAAAGAATCACTGCATAATTGTTGTTAGTTCAAAAAGAAAGAAAAAATGAGTCTACCCCCCCAAAAGGGATAGAAAGGATGATGTAATGGTTCTGAGTAAGCGATGCAAAAACAGCTATTGAGCCCCGGTATTTGTGCCGTGCTTCGATGTAGCACTTTTTTCAGAAGGGCCTACTAGGCTTCACCATGTTTCTATGGCTGGAAGGTAGAATGCTGACTGTTCTTTCGTCTCCATACCAAACATTCTCTATTCTCGTTGTCTTTTCGTCAATCTTCTTTACCTTCTGCTGCTAGACGTTTTACATACATACTACTTATATCTGTTGACATCAGTAGCACACACCACAGAACAACCAAATGTACCGGTGTGCCATGGGTTACTTATATCCACAATAGTAGTACATAGTGACGGTCAGGCATGGAATGTTTTTCAGTAAGGAGAGAACGGGAATAACACGCAATTCGTATGAAAATGCATGAACAATGATAATTGGAGACTATGGACGGATAGTTACAGAAGAAACAGTCAAGATTGATAGTTTGCAAATTAACTATTTACTGTGTGGTTGACACATTTTAGTGAGATGTTCTTTAATTTCTGATCAAATACATTCGATTGTCCCCCACTCATGTTCTCATTCAGTACACCGGGATACAAAATTATAGAGTTATTTGATAAGATATAATTACCATACGTTTAAAATGGTGGAGAAGATTTGTAGCTCAGGTGAGTAGAAGTCTACCCGAAATTTGTGCTGATGATGTCGTTCAGAAAGACGATGAAAGCTCCACAACCAAACCATCCAGCTCAAGGAACAAAACTCCATCAAAACTATACGTTCAGCACTTCATTTACAAGATTTCTACAAATTTTCCTCAGAAGTTTATTGTTCCTTCATTTCCATATCAATCAATCTCTTTTGCCGTTCACTTTGATTCGATTTTCTCAATATTCTGCTGCCTTTTTCGTTTGATGTTACATACTACTTATATCTGTTGATATGAGTAGCATAAATCACATTACCAGTACTCTATGTATTATTGTAAGATTATTTAGTTAAAAGATATTTTCACCGATTAAATTTAGATTATTCAGAAGTTGGATTAATCAATATGAATAGCTTATTTTCCGAAAGAGATTTTAACCGGTGGTTTTATACTACGATGGCGATGAGACAAGTGTTACCGACGTCAACCATGATGATTTCCTGATATATCGTATTGATCGATGTTGGGATCATTGAGTTTCTGCACAGTGGTATTAGTGTACGATTCAGAATCAAGTGAGAAGTGAATGTTTTGATGTCAATTTAACTGAAGGTAGTGGATAATAGTATCATAATGGGATAAAGTAACTGTCTAGTGCGTGATGTTCTTTAATGATTGTAGATCAGAAGGGGTTTTGTGGAGATTTCAGTATTTTCATAATTGAAATCATGAGTCAGTGGTCTATCAGTTAAGTGCTCTGGCGCGAGACTGATAGGTCCTGAATTCCAGTCTCGTGAGGCAGGATTGTTGATTGGTTCGAGTCCCAGAGTGAACATCACCTGTGAGATGCAGGTACATACAGCTGACGAGTCCCATATAGGACGTCCTGGATTCCACTGCTAGCCACTATCCATCTTTGCTTACCATGCTTGTGAATTAATGCTGTAACGAGGCAATATGCATAGTATGCACATATGCCAATTGGAGGCTGACCAGTTGCAGTCCTAACAAATCGATGGGAAGATTCAAACAAACATTACTGAATGAAGTAATATATATATAGATGAAAGGGTATCTTAACCTTCATAAATGAAAAAAATTATCATCTAATCAAAATAGGTTTTGTAGATATTATAGTAATTTTAATAGTTGGGATCATGAATCAATTGAAGTTAGATCACCATGGAAAACCTGGGAGAACTAGACGGCAATTTCGTCCTGTTATGGGACTAGTTAGTGGCAGTGCGCATCCATTATCCCGCTTCGTGAGATTCGAATCCAGGATCTATCAATTTTGCGCGCGAGCGCTTAACCACTAGACCACTGAGTCGGCCTTCACCCAAGAGTGTTAATGTCTAACTTCAACCGATCTACGAAATTGAGCGATACATCATCTAATCATTATAAGATAATCTACTCTACATTGATTCAAGCGATTACATGTTATGTTGCTACGGTAATTCTTTTTTATACACCAATATGTTAGAAATAATTCAATTAACAAACTTGTAATCAGAAAATACGTTTAAACAAAACAGAGATGACAATATTCGAAGAATACCTATGTGAATCAATGTGCCTTATTTGAACATTGAAGGAGAAGATTCAGATGCTTGAAAGTCTTGACTTCAAAACCTGATGAAGTCATGGACATTTATTATTGGGGAATATTATGTTAGGACAACGGACTACAGTGCAAAGTGGTGCATGGAGGAGAGCTGACAAATGCATGTCAAGTAAAGACCAAAGTTAAACAAGGCTGTCTACTCTCCCCATTCCTCTTTCTTCTGGTGATTGACAGGATTATGGAGACTTCGATATCTGACATGAAGCAAGGAGTACAATGGACATCTCAGAATCAATTAGTTGGTTTGGACTTCGCAGATGACCTAGCCCTACTATCTCATACGCACGAAGAAATACAGACGAAGACAGCAAATGTAGCAGCAGCCTCCGCATCGATAGGCCTCCACATTCACAAAGGAAAAAGCAAGATTCTCAAATGCAACACGGAGAACACCAACCCAATCACACTTGATGGAGAAACTCTGGAAAAGGTGGAATCATTCACGTAACTTGAAAGCATCAAAGATAAACAAGGAGGATCGGATTCAGATGTAAAGGCGAGGATTGGTAAAGCAAGGACATCATTTCTACAATTGAAGAACATATGGAACTCAAAACAACTGTCTACTAACTTCAAAGTGCGAATCTTTAATACGAACGTCAAGACAGTTCTACAGTACGGAGCTGAAACGTAGAGAACTACTACATCCATCGTCAAGAAGATACAAGTATTTATAAACAGTTATCTACGCAAAATAATCAACATTCACTGGCTGGATACTATCAGTAACAGCCTTTTATTGGAGAGGACCAAGCAGCTTCCAGCTAAAGAGCAAATTAAGAAAAGACGTTGGGAGTGGATCGGATATGCATTATGGAAATCATTAAACTGCATCACGAGACAATCCTTAACGTATAATCCGGAAGGGAAGGGGAAAAGAGGAAGACCGAGGAATACAATTCGCCGAGAGATTGAAGCAGATATGAAAAGGATTAATGTTAACTGGAAAGAAGTGGAAAGAATTACCCAGGACAGAGTTGAATGGAGAATGTTGGTGTGCGGCTTATACTCCTCGACGAGGGGTAACAGGCGTCAGTAAGTAAGTTTTATAAATGTCTGAAATATACATGTCCTAAATGCAAGTTGCACTCGATTGTTCATTTTCTGCATTGTACTAAGGTTATTATTCTACAGAAGTTAGTCGAAGCTAAATTTGCTGGAATTACGACTTTTAAATCTCAAAACACTTTTTTAAAACAGAAATTTATGTCAACTATATAAATGAGATATTCAAATGAACATTTATTGTGATACGTTCATTCAAATTATCGTTCGAATTGAGTTCAATTATATGAAAACAAATTCATACTTTACCAAAGATGGTTAGTGGCTTGTAGTGGAATCCAGGATGCTATTTCATCCTATTTAAGACTCTTCAACTGGATGTACCGGCAACTTAGATTTGATGTTCACACTGAGACTCGAGTCCAGTACCATTCTTTTCAAACGCCATCGCGTTATCCAGATGATTAGTCACAATTATGACGAAATGCATATCCTGGATTCTACCGCTGGCCATTATCCACCTTCGCTTATAATGCTTATGAATTAAGGCAATATCAAGGCATTACGCATAGGATACATATATACTAATAACAGACTGATCATTTGTAATTCTAAACATCAATGGGAAAATTAAAACAAACAATATCGAGTGAATTTAAATTTCAACTCATTGCAAAAGCAAGTGGCTATCAAAACTCAGTAGCTGAGTGGATAACGCGATGAAGTCTGGAGCGAACATTACAAAGTTCGAATCCCAGAGTGAACATCATCTCTGATATGCATTTACATCCAACTGACGAGTCCTAAATAAAACGAAGAATGCGTCAAACTGGATTCCACTACTAACGACTATCCATCTTTGTTTATAATGCCTTTTGAATTAAGGCAATATCGTGGCAATCCTTACAATGTGCACATATGCCGATGAGAGACTGATCAATCACAGTCCTCCACAACAATGGGAAGATTCAAGCAGACATCACTAAGTGATATTAGGATTTCAATCTCCCCTCTTGTTCCTTTTAAAAAGCAATATTCATGATTTACTGTTAATGAATTAAGATTACGCATATAAAAACCAAAACTTATCTTCCTTATGTACACATTAAATTCAGTCAATATTTATTAAAGACTATGTTTACATTAGAAATCTGTATTTGTTTACTATTTTTAAAAATTTTCAATCCTCATACTGTACAACAAAACTGTACTGTACTGTTACTAATTACACATATATCCATGTTTACTGTTTAGGTTCCTTTCATCTCGTGAAGGAGAACATACAAGTAAGGACAGTCGAATGTATTGAAATACACAAATACAGAACTTAATTACTTACTTACTTACATAGTAGCTTTACTTAATTACCTAGCCTGTCATATGCTCTGATAGTGTTCTCGTGACTTTCTG